GATGGACAGTTCGTCCCCGGATCCCTGACCAGCCGCTCCCTCAGCCCCAAGTGTGAGAAAACACACACACAACACCCAAAACACACACAGAGACTCTCTACATTACACCTAAAACAACAAAAACCACCCCGAACTCACACTTGTCATGTAGGTGGGTTTTGACGGAGGCAGGACTCAGGTGCGGAGATGACGGAAAACAAGGTTTATTATAACAAAAAGGTAGAAGTCCAGACAGGATACACAAACACGGCTGTGGAAAACTATGAGCAAAGTAACAAAGCATTAAGTAAACAAGACGGTGGCAAAGTAACAAAATAAAGATTAACAAAACTGTGACAAAGCTGTGGCAAAACTATGACAATGGCAAAGTAACAAACTAAAGAACAACAAGACTGTGGCAAAAGCAAACCTGGACTGACGTGGGGAAGACGAAAGACAGACGACAAAAGACAAAAGGGCGAAAACCAGACGGACAAAAACGCACTGGCCCAGGACATGGGAAACAGGACTTTTTAAACACATGAGGGGGGGGAACCCCAGGTGAACACAATAGGTAATCAAGACATGACAACACACCAGACATTCCCCCAGACGTGACAACACTAAACGGCCCAGAAGTCCCTCCGACCCTTCAGATTCAATTCAATTCAAGTCAATTCAATTCAATTCAATTCAATTCAATTCAATTCAATTCAATTCAATTCAATTTTATTTATATAGCGCCACATCACAACAACAGTTATCTTTCCAAACAGAGCAGGTCAGACCTACTCTGAAGTTAATTACAGAAACCCAACAATTCCCACCATGAGCAGCACTAGGCGACACAGGCGAGGAACAACTTCCTTTAACAGGCAGAAACCTCGAGCACAACCATGGCTCAGGGTGGGGGGGCATATTTTGATGATAACTGTAAAATTGTGTCAACTTTGTGAGTCACTTTGGATAAAAGCCTCTAAATGCAGAAACAGCAACATAAAAGCTCCAAAAAACAGCTTAAAAAGCCACAAAACAGCTTGAAAAGCCCCAAAAATCAGCTTTCAGATGGAGGAACCATCTATCTCCTATCCTAACTCCTCCAGACCTCTGGACCCTCTACCCCTCTTTCTGTGCCTCCTTTTCCTCTCTTGGACTCTGACTGGGGGTTTTCCTCTAGAGAACTTATTGTCATATTCAATTCAATTCGATTCAATTTTATTCCTATAGCGCCACACCCCAACAACAGTTATCTTTCCAAACAGAGCAGGTCAGACCTACTCTGAAGTTAATTACAGAAACCCAACAATTCCCACCATGAGCAAGCACTAGGCGACACAGGCAAGGAAAAACTTCCTTTAACAGGCAGAT